AACTGCTCTGGCCACTGCACGCATTGATGCCATTGCCCCACCTTCCACCAGCGGGACCACTCGGCCTGGAGTAAAGACATCTCACGTTGCTTGTGTACAGGGAGATGAGCTCGTTCCTTATCGGGCGCACATGGAGACCAAGGGACTTTCTCACGTGTGATAGCGCACAAACCACCAGCACCACTGCCCGCCTGAGACGTGACCCACTTCCGAAACTCACTGGCACGATGCTTCAAGTCCTTCTCCGCCAGCTGGGCAGCGGCCAACTTGACGGCACTCGCTAAGATCTGCGCAGCCCAGATTGCGACATCGCACAAAGGAAGCAACGATATCAGGCACCACCAACGTCCAACAGGACTGTCGGGAACAGACATCACCGCCGCGGGCGCCTTGAGAAGCAACTTCCTTGCAGACGTGAGAGCCCGCAATCGAGTCGTAGGTTGTTGCCAGCACGCCGCGAACTGTAGAGCCGCTCCCAGACTTCGAAGCCACAAAACAGCTGGTGATACACGAGGAAACTTGGGCGGCATGGGGGGATTGGAGTCGACCCATTAAGGCTGCACGGGCCGATCCCTTCCACGCATCTTCCGCGCATCATCTGAAGACACCTGATACACATCAACCCACTGCCGCTCGGCTGCTGCAACAAAGGTCTCCCAGCCCCGAGATAGCTGCTCCTGTGATACCTGTCCTCGCGGCATGAGCTGACGCACAGTGTCCCACATGCCCTCAGCGTCGAAGGAAGCACAACCAGCGGGCCGCGCGTCAGGAAAAAGACGAGGCACAGGCATCACTCGCATCTTGGGCCTGCCAACCGGAGAAGCCAACTGCAAACTGACCGTCACGTGCGGGCCCAGGGGGACCTCGGGATGCAAGGAGACCGAAGACACCTCGAACCCCTCAGACACAATGAAGAAGTCGACCTTACGCCCTGCTGGTGCACATGCCCCCGACAAAGGCTCAGCAATCACAGCATCGAACCAGTCCATCACGCCAGCTTCACGCAAATCAGCTGGCTCATTGTTGAAGTCACCCGCGATAATATAAGGTCGCCCAACCATGCGAACACGCTCAGCAATCAAAAACATAATCTCCAGATTTGCAGCTGCCATGCCTATCCTGTCGTGCAGGTATACGTTGACCAAGATCACCCCTGCGCTGGTAAACCCTGAGTGCAGACAGTAAGCGGCACGGCCAGGCACAATGATAGAATCAACACCTTCAACCACGCCCAGACCATACTGCTGAGCACATATGCAAAGCAAGCCACCACTACCAGATCCTCTGCGACCCGCAATACACTCCACCGCAGGAGAAAATGCGCAATTCCAGCCAGCCACACGCATACGACTAGACTCATCCTCACATTCTTTAGCGCACAGGTGGGTCTCCTGAACAAGAATAGCATCAGGCTGATCCAGAAGCAGCTTGCGCACATCAGCATCATCAGAAGCCTGCAGGTCCACAAGCGTGGAGAATGTGTTGACATTCATAGTGAGCACCCGCCAGACCTTCGGGTTAGGAACGAGACCCAGAATCACAATCATGTGCGGCACGAAGCTTCTTGCTGGCCTCCTCGCGGAGCTCCTGGATGAGCCTCTTCTTGTCGACGTCCGTGATCGGGAAATCGGGAGACAGACCGTTGACCATGCTGTCCCACTCAGCATCCGACAGGTCGTAGGACCGCGCCATCTCCACGGGCGCAGGCACGTGCTCCCCGCTGAGGTCGATGACCCCTCCTGCTCCGCCAGACACGCCCGCGGGCGCCGCCTCCGCGCCGCCGCCGCCAGCCGCCGCGCCAGCGTCCGCCCCAGCGCCATCCACGGCGCCACCGCCTTCACTCTCGCGATGGGCAGTGAGCGCCTGCAGCGACGCCGTGAGCGGCTCCGCCAGCGCAGTGCCGACCTGCTGCTGCCAGCCAGGGTGCCCATTGAGCACCTTAGCCACATGCGAGGCCGCCGACACCGCCGACTCCGCAGCTGGCGGCTGCGGAGCACGAGCGGCCTTCGCCTTGGCATCCTCCACCATCTGCTTGAGCTCGGCCTCCAGTTTACCCAGCTGGGACCTGGGCGACACATACTGTTCCGTGGCCTTCTGCACCGCAATCTTCGCCTTGTCAAACAAAGAGCGAGCCCGCTGCAATTCAGCCGCCTTGCTGTCGATCGCCTGTTGCACGTTTTTGGCCTCGTTGACCGACACCAATCCCTCAAAACCGTTCTCTCGCTTCCAACGCATATGCTTGAGCTTGTCTCGAGCCGACTGAGAAAGAACAGCTGCGGCCGCATCGAGCTGAGCAGCTGACATCTCCAACCAGACACGCGCTTGCTCATCATCGAGGGAAGGTGCCGACTGCTGCTGCTGCCCGTTCCCGCCAGACTTGGCCTTGCCCCCGTTATCCTGCTTCCGACGAGGAGGCTCGAACACAGCAGGAGAGCGAAAAACCCAAGCACCGCGGGGGGCCTGCCACGGAGGAGGCGCTGGAACCATGGAGGCACCCTTGGGCCCTTGCCCATTGCACCCCGCCTGGCGGCACCGAGACCTGAAGCCATAATTGTGATAGCCGCAGGACCCGCAGTCCCAGCCCGACATCACGACGCACTGACCAAGTGCCTGTCGGCGCGGCGGGCGCGCGAAGACAGGAGAAAAGCAGTGGGGGCCGTCCCTCCCCCTCGCCACTAAGGTCAAGTCCTGAGCCGATGGCTACGGACTTGAGCCAAAATGGCTACGGACCCTCCTCCTCCTCCTCCTCCTCCTCCTCCTCCTCCTCCTCCTCCTCCTCCTCCTCCCCTCCTCCCTCCTCCGCCCTCCTCCGCCCTCCTCCTCCTCCTCCTCCTCCTCCTCCTCCTCCTCCTCCTCCTCCTCCTCCTCCTCCTCCTCCTCCTCCTCCTCCTCCTCCTCCCCCCCCCGCCTCCTCCTCCTCCTCCTCCTCCTCCTCCTCCTCCTCCTCCTCCTCCTCCTCCTCCTCCTCCTCCTCCTCCTCCTCCTCCTCCTCCTCTCTCCTCCTCCTCCTCCTCCTCCTCCTCCTCCTCCTCCTCCTCCCTCCTCCCTCCTCCCCCTCCTCCCCTCCTCCTCCTCCCTCCTCCTCCTCCACCACCTCTTTTTCCTCCTCCTCCCTTTCCCTCCTCCCTTTCCTCCTCCCTCCTCCTCCTCCTCCTCCTCCTCCTCCTCCTCCTCCTCCTCCTCCTCCTCTCCTCCTCCTCCTCCTCCTCCTCCTCCTCCTCCTCCTCCTCCCCCCTCCTCCTCCTCCTCCTCCTCCTCCTCCCCTCCTCCTCCTCCTCTTCCGCCCTCCTCCTCCTCCTCCTCCTCCTCTCCTCCTCCTCCCTCCTCCTCCTCCTCCTCCTCCTCCCCCTCCCCCTTCCCCTCCTATTCCTTGGGGATGAAACCCTCAGCAAGGTTAAAACGGTCTTCTCGGATGGGCACCCCACTCCAATTTCCTCTCTCCCCTGGACATCTCTTCCCTCTATAGGCGTCGGACCTCCTCCTCCCCCTTTTCCTCCTCCTCCTCCTCATCCTCCTCCTCCTCCTCCGCGCAATGCTTTTTACACACAAGACTCCCGGGAAATGGGTTGTCGTTTCGGTTGTTCCAGAAATGTTGCTCCCGCTGAAACGCTGGCCTCATTTTCGGGTTTCCGCTCGTTCCGAATCGTACTCCCGCTGAACGCTGGCCTCATTTCCGCGCTTCCGCTCAATCCGGAGCATGCTCCCGCTGCAACGCTGGTCTCATGTTGGTGTTTTTGCTCGTTCCGAATCGTGTTCCCGCTGCAGCGCTGGCGTCTGTAATTCAAGTGCCATGCCACAGCATGCCATGCAATGCTAGGTGATGTTCCGCTGTGCGATGCCATGCCGTCCGCTGCAATGCTAGGGTATGCAATGCTTGTCTACGCAGTGCGACGCCATGCTATGCCATGCTACGCTTTGATATTCAACGCCAGGCTATGACATGTTCTGTTGTGTGCCGCGGTGCGATGCCATTATTTGCGTTGCAAGACTTGGTTATGCAATTCTTCACCACGCAACGCCACACCATGCTATGACATACTACGCTCTGTGCTCTCCTACGCCCTGCTATGCTGTGCTCGACGGTGCATCGCGCACCCTTTCGGGATCATTGCCCTGCTCGCCATCCGACTGTGCGAATAGAGTGGAAATCTAAGCCATGGTATATACGGGATAGGACGGAGGGACAGGACGTCAGATATGACGCGAGCGCACCTAGCTTGCCCCCTCCTATCCCCCTCATCCTTCTCTTCCTTCTCCTCCTCCCCTCCTCCTCCTCCTCCTCATCCTTATCCTTCTCCCCTCCGCTCCCAGTCCCACCCCATGCTCTACACATGCAGAGCGTTCTCGCGAGCCAGAACTGCCCAAACAGCCCGCTCAAGCCTCAAGCTGGCCGTAAGAGAACGAGAGGCAAAGAGAGAGGGAACGAGAGAGATCGCGGCACTGTGCCGCATTGCCCCCCTCAATCCCCTACATCCACCTCCTCATCCTCCTGTCCTCCCTCCCCCAACCTCCTCCTCCGCCTCTTCCTCCTCATCCTCCTCATCCTCCCCCTCCTCCTCCTCCTTCCCCTCCTCCTCCTCCTCTCCTCCTCCTCCTCCTCCTCCTCCTCCTGCTTCCCCTCCTCCTCCTCCTCCTCCACTTCCTCTTTCTCCTCCTCCTCCTTCTCCTCCTCCTTGTCTCTCTCGATGGGAAGTCTCCTCCTTCTCCTGTCTCTCTCGATTGGGAATCTCGAGTCTCGATCGAGAACCGACGGGAGACTCGAAAACCAAGACCAGTTGGAGGGCCTGGTGGTCTGGCTCCAATCCGCATCTGGGCACCCAGCCTTTGCCGCCTGCTGCGCGCGCAGGTTGCAACCTTGGTGCTTGTGTCCCGACCATCCTGAGGTGTTGGGTCCTCGATTTGAAGGGGACAGCGCCCCGCGTCACTCACTCCTCCTTCCTCCTCCCTCTCCTCCCCCCCTCCCCTCCTCCCCTTCCCCCTCCTCCCGCTCATCCCGCCCCCTCCCCCTCCCCCTTCTCCTCCCACCCCCCTCCTCCCCCTCCCCCTCCCCCTCCTCCGCTCCTCCTTCCTGCTCCCTCTGCGGTGGTGATTCGCCGAAGGTGTCTTCGATCCGCCGCCCCCAAGATGCACCCAAGACTGCCTCAGGCAGCCTCAAGATGGCCCAAGACAGCCCAAGAGGCTCCCAAGAGGCCTCCAAGACGGCCCAAGCGGCCTCTAAGAGGTCCTCCAGAAGGCCCGAAAATGCCCCAATCAATGGTTTTCCTAAAATTGTTGAAGGATGTTGGCATCTGCTGTTTGTTCTGCTTTCCGACGGACCAAGACGGCCCAAGAGGCCCCCAAGATCGCCCAAGAGGCCTCCAAGATGGTTCCATGACGGCCGAAGAGGCCCTCGAGACGGCCCCAAGAGAGCCCCAAGACGGTCCAAGAGGCCCCCAAGACGGCCCCAAGGTGGCCCCATGACGGCCAAGATTGCCTCCAGAAACCCCAAGATGTCTCCAATACGACCCAAACTGTACCCAAGACGGCCCAAGATGGCCTCAAGATGGCCCCAACCGCCCCAAAAAGCCCCATGACCGCCCAAGAGGCCCCCAAGGCGGCCCCAAGAGGGCCGCAAGACGACATATGAGGCCTCCAAGACGCCAAAGATGGCCTCCAAGACGGCCCCGAAACGCCCCAAGAGGACCCCAAGTCGGTCCAGAGAGGCCACGGCTTCCGACGGCGTCAGGCGGGCCAGGAGCGTCAGAAGACGGCGACAGAGGCACCCAAGAAGCCACCCAAAGCCCCCAAGAGGTCAAAATAATCTCCCAAAGGGCCTCCAAGAGTCTCCCAGCTCCCAGGAGGCCCCAAGAGGCCACAAGAACACCCAAAGAGGCTCCCAAGAAGGCTCCTCCCCCCTCCTTCTTTTTCCTCCCTCCTGTACTCTCCTCTTTCTCCCCCACATGTTCCCCGAAGAGTTTCCAAACCACCTCGGGGAACACATGGTCCGATGGCTTGGCCAAGCTCTAGCCCAACTTTCGGCCACATAGGCGGGTCCAGGAAGGCAGGGGGCTGCGGTGACTCGCCGCAGGCGTCTTCGTTACCAAGGCCAGGCCCCAAGGAGGGAATGCTGCAATCCAGACTCGTGACCAGGACCCTCGCCCACCCCCAAAGCTCTGGTTGGGGCATAATCTGTACTTTATTCGGGCGGATCCTGGGCTGCGACCCCGCGGATACGGAACGCCTTGATCGCGGATGCCCCCCGCGCGAAGTGTATGCGTCCGACCGCGCATCCGCGGTGCACTCAGCTCGTATCATACCGATGCGGGGTAAGGGTGCAAGGGCCTTGGAGGCCCACGTGGACGTGAATCGAACAAGGCAGGCCAGCGAAAGTCGCCAAGGACGGGCCGAAGGGGCAAGAATGCCAGGGTACCCTTGGGAAGGTTGCCCATCCGTACTACGCGGGTTGACTGTACAGTGAGAGCTCATGCTAAGAAACACCCTGTTTCTCTCCAGGGTACCCCGCTTTTCTTGGATGTGCATGGTTCTACGATGGAAAACGTTGCGTTCCAATGCGACAAATCGATGGGCGTCCTAGGGGGTCAGGGTTGGGTTTCTTGTGGAACAATTACTTTGGTCGAGCTCCTACTGCATCATGCTCCGGAACCCGGACCGCGAGGGCGAGGATACTCGGGGGCGCGCAAGCATGGATTGGCGATCCATGGATGTGTCGCGCGGTCGCCAAATCTATGGATCGGGGAAGGTGCCCTCCGCAAAATGCGGCCGGTGCGGCCTCGTCCGGTGGCGGAAATCTGCGATTTCCCATGGAAGCGGGACTCGTCGCTAATCAGCACCTCCGTGATCCATGTTTGCTATCGCCTGAGATACGGACCTGTTCGCCGCCCGTGACCCCCATCCCTGGCCGCCAGGACGTGGGGCCCGCTCTCGGGCAGGTGCACCTCGCGCGGCACTCCCACTCTCCCCCCCCCCCCCTCTCCAGCGGCCGGCCAGAGGCTTCGGGGGGGTGAGGAGGCAGGATGGAGGAGGAGGGAGGGAGGAGGGAGGGATGGAGAGAGAGGAGGGGAGGGAGGGAGGGAGGGAGGGATGGAGGGAGGAGGGAGAGGAGGGGAGGGAGGGAGGGAGGAGGGGAGGGGAGGAGGGAGAGGGGAGGGAGGAGGGAGGGAGGGAGGAAGCGAGAAGCCCTGAGGTCCTGTCGTCGCATGTTGTTCGCAGCGGGCGGTGTCGCTCAGTTTTTGGCCCGGGGCCTGGGCCCCCTGACAATCCAATCCGACTCCGAGCTAGTTGTTTAAGGCTGCTGCAGTTTTCGTGACGTCGGGTCTCAGAGGGAGTTTTTCGTCAGCGATCCTGCAGACCTGAACGACTTTAACTGAAACCGAGCCAAGTTGGATGGCTTGCCTGAGACTAGGGTGCAGGCCTTGCTGCGGCCGCCGTCTATCGGGCCAAAATCCGTGCCTGGAGCTCCGGCATTCCTGGAATAGATATCAAACCAGACACTGACGCGGGCATGCTAACGTCACGGGGCGGAGGTTGCTGAGCAGCATAACAAAGAAAACGGCCCCCTCGCTTCGAACTTTCACTCACCGTGGAGTTAGGGTCACGGTAGTGAGGATAGAAGCCAGAATAAATTCTGCGCGAAATCGTGGGAGCGCCCGACGGATGTCGCTGTGGGCACTCCTTCCCGAGAGCGCCCAACAGATGTCGCTGAGGGCACTCCTTCCCGAGCATGTGGCACCGCGTGGAGGAGTACGCGCCACACATGCTGCAGAAGAAGAGAGGCAGCTGCTGCTCTCCCTTGTCGACGATACAGTGGGCCAAAAAGTGTCCCAGGGAACGGTCTAGAACACCCCTCCAGGTCTTACTGGGGCCCTTACATCCTAACATGGGTCGCGCCGAGACATTCGAAGCAAGTTAAAAGCAAAGCAAGCAACGCGCACGCCTAAGGCCCAATTCCTGCCAAGCGCACCAGCCACCATAGTTTAAACACTTAGCTTTCGGACCCGACGGGACACTATCACACTTCTCGGGGGGAAAGACGGCAAGGACGGTCCCCGCGACTTCCGCCGCACCTCCTGGAACACCTGTGCACTGGGTTGGGGATTGAGAAGGAGAGCCTGCTTGGCCCAGACGTCCGCATTCCAGTTGCCTGCGCCGATACGTCTCTCGGGGTCGGGCAGGGCATCGAGGACAGCGCGACTTCGGTGGGCTGGGGTATGATGAACCCTCGGGATAAGTTCAGTTTCGTGTAGCAAAGATCCACGCCGAAGGCCAGCAGAACGACGTTTGCGAAAAACTTGAAACAGCTTGGAGGCCTGGCACAGCCGCGCGACATTCATGCAATCAGAGTGCCGGTCACCACCTCTAGGCTGGTACAACGGGGGGAGCGCCATGCAAAGATGTTCGGCAGCTCGGTAGGTCTGGGGAAGGACATCATACTCCGTACCTTTAGCGTACGCGATAGCCGCATCCCCAGGGCCCAGGAACACCCAAGAATAGGCAGCCCTAGAGAGCCCCCGAATCGTGCGACGATGGGCCGAACCATCCATAACAACTTCACATCCCGAAAGGTCGATAGACCCCCAATCAGCGGTATCACCTTCGGGGGTGTAAAGAATGGGGTGGGTAGCAGAGGACAGGGGAGGGTAGGTATTTTCAGGGTGTTCCAACTTCAACTCGTCGAAAAAACAACTGATCATTGCTGCCCAAAGCCTCTGCGAGCCATTTAGCAGGCGCGCTATCCGTGACCGACTTCCTGGCCGCAACAACTTCGGGATGTAAACATTGCCAGGCACGGTGTCGCACACTGCCGGGAAGTCCACGAAAGGGCATAGGCCGTTGCACTGGTATCCCGCGGACTGCGCACGCGAGCGAATCCAAATACCCTTACAAAAGACGCTTAATGCCATATATTTCTGACGGGCAGTCAAATGGCGACTCGTGGGATCCAGGACCTTCTTGAGGGGGCCCACGCGCAACCGAACGCCGTTGGCCCCAGGGGCGTCTTGACACAGGACGCGTTCATGCTTTCGGTGTATAACTACTTGCAACATGTGCGCAATCGTAGAGGGCGAGGTGTATCCAGGATGCACCTCGCGGTCGTAAGCATCCCTGAAGGTGAGGGGAGCGACCGACTACCACCCCACCCGGGCCAACGATAAGTGCATTCTCTGCAAAAGTCCCCGAGAGGGGCGCCAGTGACCGTGTCGTCATATCTAACAACTCGCCACATTTGGGATATTTCCTTAATGTTATACTGGAAAATCGAGGGGGGGGGCAGGGCAATCCAAACACTCCCAGCCCATTGCAAGGCTGGAGCAACAGAGGGTCGCCAGACGGGGCCCCCCAAAATCGCGAGGCGAACCTGGAGCGAGCAGCCGCGGTGCCGTGGCGGATGGCTGGAGGGCAAAACCCTGCGAGCCTCCTGGAGCTCGAAATCCGACATTCCAACCACCGCCCAGCCAAAACTGGCCGCTGGCATAACTCCAGCAACATGAATGTTTCCCATGCTGGCCTTCTTTCTGGGGAGCCTGGCGCGGTAGCAGATCAGGACCTTGTGCCGTTTCTTCATTGGAGAAAAACGCCGTTTCCTTTTCCAGAGCCCGCGCTGGGCGCAACGAGGCTGACCTGGGGCGAAGCCCGGTGCCCGGCGAGACCACGCTGTTGGTCACGTGCCTCGCATGGTCGCCACGGGAACTAGACTTTTTTTCTTGGTCAGGGCTAGACTGCCGGCGATGGCGCTGGCCTTGCCGGGCTGAATGCGACGTGCAGCTCATCCCTGAACATGATGCACAGAGAAGCTGCAGCCTGAGTGATATTGGCCAGAACTTCTGGTTCTGCGCCCGATGTGGTGACGCTATCATCGTGCACATACGAAGAAAGGACGACCTGCGGGTCATCAGCAACAAACCGATCAAACGCTTCAATGCTATACACTCGAACCATGATGCCGTTGAATGCATCTCCCGCAGGGAGCCCTTAAGTCGGGGAGAGCCCCAAAAGAACCCCAAGGCGAAGCAAACGGGGGCCCCTCCAAGCATTAAACGTAGTCTTGACAATGACAGCATTGATACCGTGTCTCAAAGCTCTGTCTATCAGACAAAGATCGAACAGCTCGTAGTACTTGGTCCCGTCCCAAATCACTTCCCCCGTGTCTGTATCAGTGTGCTGGGCAACTTCGGCCTGGACAGCCTGGTGCCACGCCGCGTCTTCAGCGCTACGCCCAGGACCACAAGCCCAATACTTACGGGGGGAATTGATGTCGAAATCCACAATGACGGGTCCCCTCAAACGCTCCCAGACTCGAACGGGCCTAGCGCAAAGGAGGATCGGACGTGCTCCGCCTTTCGGTTTTTTCGAGAAGAAGACAGTGGAGCCAGAAGAGCTGTTTCGGAAACAGGCCCAGGGACTCGATCGCCTGGATAATCGCCCCGAACGTGCCCAGAGCCCCACCAGAAACAATCGAAATCTGTCTCAGATGCAGCCCGTCGGGCGACTGCGACGCGAGAAGAGAGAAACAGCGAGGGGCGCTCCTGATCTCGCCCGCCGTCGGACGCGGCAGGTGGCATATATCAGGATAACCCACTTCGGGAGGGACGCGCGACGCATGCCAAAACTCAGCCACACACTCGCTTTCAGCCATCAGAACTTCCCGGGGCGAGTTGGATCAAACACCAGTGTGATTTTGAACGACCGTAAGGGCCCATTTCTGTTTCAACTCCGCAAGCCGATGCATTGGCCCTGCCCCACCCCCCTCCCCGAGAATGCATGTTCCTGCCGTCGGCCATAACTGTCCTGCTGGATGTGAGCGAGGGCCCTGCGCGCCACGCTGAGGTCACATTCCCGCGGGGATACAAACTCCTGGCGCTGCTCGGTCCACTCGTCGAGGCCTGCTCCAGTTACAAAGGAGCGTGCAAATACGCGCCTGGTCAAGGGCGGCGTCGGGGCGAACGCTCAGCCCTGCGCCAGGGCAAAGTAAAACGAGCAGGTGCTGGATCTGGTGGTTAGAATCATCGGTGAGCTGCTGATTCTTGCTGCGATCCAGAAAATCAGGATCCTGGGGCGCCTGGCGGAGCCTCGCAGAGGCCCCGACCGTTTCCGCCAGGTGTTGGGCCGACCAGATCCATCCGCAGCGCTGCTCGCGCGCGCTGCCCGCCCTGGGTTTCGCAAAAATGGGAGCCCACTTCTGCCTGAGTAAATCCCCTTTTGCGCCCCTTGCTCCTGACCCCCACCCCCGTGAACGACTCGAGCTCGAGCTCGACATTGTTAGCGAAATATGTCCAGGCAACCGCGCGCATGCCCCAGGCTTCGCCAACGGGACGCGACAAGGCGCACGCAGCAGCGTCCTCCGCAATAGTCCTACAGAGCATATAATCCTGAGGTTTGGGGGCGGGGCCGAAAGGGAGCTCCGTCGGGAACGTCGGACTTCTGATGCGGCCGATACGTCAGCTGATGGCACCGCGCAGCATTTGGGCGCAGAACGATCTGCACGGGTCGGCGGGGGCGGCGGGCCCAGGACGCGCCCGCATCAACCTCATCACAGGCGCGAGCCAAAGCCGTGCTAAGTAGAAAGAAACCGATCGCGCTTAAACTTCCAGGGACAGACAAGTCTTCTGCGTCGGCACAAGGAGGGCCCCGTCAACCGTGCGCGACACACCCGTATAATCCACCAGGCCGGGGTCAAAGTTCCAATCCCCGCCCTGCGACGAACATGTGCCCCCCCCGACCGTTCCCCGATTTTTCTCAGGAGAGTGAGGTCGAGGGAACAACGCACCGTGCCAGATTTCAGGTAACGCGAAATCGCATGAAGGGGAGACCAGCCCGGGAGGTAATCAATGGCGTGAATGACGCGCCCTGGTGCGACCACACCCGGGGAATCCGACGGCCAACTCGGGCCAACATGCGTGCGAGCAAACACTGCCACCCCCGCTTTAGGTCTACCAGC